ACCCACAATCCGAGCTACAAATCTACTCCAAAACCTTAAATGTTCAACAATGCTGAGATCATAGTTGTTGACAGTTTGCATTAACAATTTGGACTTTGGAATTAAAAATCCAATTTCCAAATTTGAGGTGACACCAGATTAATAGCAGAACAGTCAATGTTGAGGACTGCAACAAATTACAGGAGAATGGTAAGAATGTAGAACTCACTCCAACAGGGAGTGGTTGAAGAGAATATTACTGATGCATTTAAGGGCAAGATAGTCAAGCATATGAGGGAGAAAGAAACAGATGATTACACTTGTAGATTTATATGAGAAAAGATGGAAGAACACTCAAGTGGAACATAAACACTGGCAGGGACTTGTTGGGCAGAATAACTTGTTTCAGTGGCATAAATCCTACGTAAACAATGCTCCACACTCCTCAAACATGATTCACTAGAATTTTTGATGGCAATACCATTACCATTTTATTAAATATTTCCTACCCACTATTTAGATTTCAACTTCTAAAAGCCTTTGTGTACAGCTTTTGACTTAGTACATTTGTAAGGTCTAACAAGCTCTATTACAAGATAGATTTTGGGAACAAAGAAACAATTAGTGACAGGCAGGTAAGGGACCAAAGGGTAGATAATATTTGTCAGTTAGTCCTTTGGGGAGACAACAGCAATTTTGTCACTAGACTAGTAATCCAGAAGTCTGGACTAGTGTTCCAGACACAAGTTGAAATCCCACACCATGGCAGCTCAGAAACTTAAATTCAGTTAATTAAATAAATCTGGAATAAAAAGCTAGTTGAATATTATTGACCAGGAAACTACCAGATATTGTAAAAACCCATCCAGTTCACTTATGTTCTTTAGAGAAGGAAGCTCACTGTGTTTACCCAGTCTGGCCTGTATCTGGCCTCTACATCCCAACAGATCCTTCATGCAGACCTGTAGTCTCAGCACTACCACATGCTGTCCTTGAAGCAAATGCAGTACAGAAGGGACAGTTTCACACCTCCTTCTGGTACATGCCTTTGCAAAGAAGGTCTAGAAAGAGATGCAGTGTTTTTTTCGAGGCTTAAGCAATTCAAGAGTGCAGGATTATATGCTCTATGAGCTATTCCCAAGGGACACACTGTGACAAACATCAACTGTTGATGGAGGATCAGCAACTCTGTGAAACATGCTCTTTGGGCTGCTCAAAGCTCATCAGTCTTCCAAAGCAAAGAATGTTGAATGTGTAGATTGGCACATTTCAAGGTCCAGGATTGTGCCGAGGGATGCACTAAAGCTTCGGGTCAGCTGTCAAAAGATACAATGTGGAAAGACTATATCTAAGGCTATTCAGCCAGTCTACTGAGGAGCTGGTAACTTTGTTAACCTTTCAAGTTGTATGCTTGAAACTGAACATACACAGTAAATATCATAATTATTGCAATTATACTGAGGGACCTCAGAGTTTAAAAAGAAGCCCTATGGAGAAAAAGAAACAAACATTATTGCACTTTCCATGAGATCCAATTTGAAATGTTTTGGAATGTACTTTTTAAGTACTGTGTGAATAAAGTACATTTTCGGAAAAAAGAAACAAGATTCAAGACTCATAGCAATATGTTTTTTTTTTAAAACTACGCTCTGAAATAGCCTAGCAAACTACTCAAGACAGCAGCTCGCCACCACCTTCTCAAGGATAATTTGAGATGGGCAATATATACTGGTCTTATTGATGATGCACCACAAACCATGAATTACCAAAAAAAAAATGAGCACAGGTACAATTTTCCCAATATCAGTGACTAGAAGAATTTGAACTGAGCCACATAACAAACAAGCTCATCAATCATGCTGGAAGAAAATGGACTAAGAGAAGCACACCTACCATTCTGTTGGGTTATTTTCTTTCATTTTCATTGCTTCCAAATCTTCCTTTCTCATCTTGTTGTGTAATTCATACTGTCACAAAATAAAGCGCATCACTAGCACTTTAAGCCATTAGCAAAGAACTGTACTTAAACTGCCCCATCTTCAGTTTTTTACCTCTTCTGAAAATGGTGACATATGCAGAGTATTGTATTTAATAGGCCACTATTCATGTGCCCCTATAGAGAGTTAGCATGTCATTTAGGCACAGAAAGCATCTTAACCAAACCTTACCCTGTTGGTACTCAACCGCTTACAGCACCCACCATGAACAACATTGCTGAAGAGTTCAATCCCATTCTTACCTGACAGCCATTCACATGTACTTTCTGCTTAGTGATCCAGAATGGGACACTTAGTCAATGGTACCTGTAAGCTGGGGTAGGCAGCAGAGACAACATTTAGTACCTGTACTGCTACCTGGCTAGGACAAACTAATTTAGTACAGGGGAGTGGCCTAGTGGTATTATCACTGGAATGTTAATCCAGAGACCCAGATAATATTCTGAGGGCCTGGGTTCGAATCTTGCCATGGCAGATGGTGGTATTTGAATTCAATAAATATCTAGAATTAAGAGTCTATTGATGACAATTAAGAGTCTAATGATAACCATGAATCCATTGCCGATTGTCAGAAAAACCCATCTGATTCACTAATGTCTTTTAGGGAAGGAAACTGCCATCCTTACCTGGTCTGGCCTACATGTGACTCCAGACCCGCAGCAATGTGGTTGACTCATAACTGCCCTCTGGGCAATTGGGGATAGGCAATAAATGCTGGCCTAGCCAGCGACACCCTCATCCCCCGGATGAAAAAAGAAAAAAAAAACAAATCAAATCTAGAACCTTACTGGTCTGTGCACTGCAGCTCAGGTTCATTGCTAAACCTAAGATATATTGGACTGGGAATGGTAATGGTGTAGAATCAAAGGAATAGCGCTCAAGGGGTTAAATAATGACAGCAAGTTGCTTCAGGTTACAGACTTGCTCGCCGAGCCGGTGTGTTTGATTGCAGACATTTCGTCACCCTGCTAGGTAACATCTTCAGTGCGCCTCTGGTGAAGTGTTGGCGTTCTGTCCTGCTTGTTATTCATATGCCTCTCTTTGCTGGGGTGGTTGGCATTACTTCCAGTTCTGCTTTTCAGTGGTTTGTATGTCAGGTCCAGTTCAATGTGTTTGTTGATGGACTTCCGGTTAGAATACCAGGCCTCCAGGAATTCCCTGGCATGTCTCTGTTTGGCTCGTGCTATTATGGATGTGTTGTCCCAGTCGAATTCGTGTCCTTTGTCTGTGTGTATTGAGACCAGTGAGAATTGGTCGTGTCTCTCGGTGGCCAGTTGGTATTCGTGTATCCTTATTGCCCGATTTCTTCCAGTTTCGCCTATAAAATGTTTCTCACAGTCCTTGCATGGTATATTATGTTTGTTTTATTGATTGTGGGTATGGGGTCCTTTATGTTCGTCAGTACTATACACTGTGAGAAACATTACACAAGCCAAACTGGAAGAAATCGGACAATAAGGGTACACAAACACCAAATGGCCACCGAGACACGACCAATTCTCACTGGTTTCAAAACACATGGACAAAGGAGGACACGAATTCAACTGGAACAACACATCCATAATAGCACGAGCCAAACAGAGACATGTCGGGGAATTCCTGGAGACCTGGCATTCCAACTGGAACTCCATCAACGAACACATTGAACTGGACCCAATATACAAACCACTGAAAAACAGAACCGGAAGTAATACCAACCACCCCAGCAAACTGAGGCAGATAAATAACAAGCGGGACAGGACACCAACGTTTCACTGGAGGCGCACTGACGATATTACCTAGCAGGGTGACGAAACATCTGCGATCAAACACACCGGCTCGGCGAGCAAGTCTGCAACCTCATCCACAACCCGAGCTACAAATCTTCTCAAAAACAAGTTGCTTCAGTTGAGCTTATAATTACTTTGAGCAAGGAGGCCTGGGTTCAAGTCCTACCTGCTCCAGAGGTGTGTCATAATATCTCTGAACAGGTTGATTAAAATACATCTATAATTACTTGAGTATAGAAGGATGAGCAATGATCTAATCAAGACATTTAACATCAAGAGATTTGATACAATAAGTACTCCCAGGTAAACTATTTCCTTTAAAGAGTTATACTGTACTCAAAATGGTTACTGTTTCTCTCTCCGCAGATGCTGCCAGACCTGCTGAGTTTCTCTAGCATTTGCTGTGTCTGTTTCAGATTTCCAACATCTGCAGTATTCTGCTTTTATATAAATTATTTCCTTGCCTGAGGTAACCTAGAACAAGGGGGGCACTGTCTTCAATTACAGTTAGGCTGTTTTGCCATGAAATAGAGAAGCACTTTATTGCACAAAGGATTGCAAGAATAGGTATTCTCTTCCCAAGACGGTGGATGCCGCGACAGTTGAAATAGTATAGCGTATACAGCACAGAAACAGGTCATTCAACACAACTAGTCTATGCTAGTGTTTTTGCTACACTTAAGCTTCCTCCCATCTTTATCATCTAAATCTATCATGGTAACCATCTATTCCTTTCTCCTTCATACGTTTGTCTAGTTTCCCCTTAAATGCATCTCTAAGGTTCACTTCAACCACTACCAACGGTAGTGAATTCCACATTCTTAATACACTCGTGGTGAAGATACTTCTAATGAATTTGTTGTTGGAGTTTGTACGTTACGCACCTATAAGTATAGATTGGGCATGATCTAATTGAATGGATCAAGAAGCTTTACAGGCTGTGTTGTCTACATCTGTTCCTACTCCAGAAGTGTGCAATAACATCTCTGAACAGGTTGATTAGAAAAATAGTTAGATTTAAAAAAAACGTTCAGGGAGAACTCTTGTACTGCAGTAGCAATATCCCTACCCCTGAGCCAAGAGGCCTGGTTTCAAGTCCCACCTGCTCCAGAGATGCGTAATACATATATGAACAGTTTGGTTAAAAACAATCTACACTATGTTCAGGGGAGGTCTTGCGGTGCAGTGGTAGTGTCTCTATTCCTAGGCCAGAAGGCCCAGGTTCAATTTCCACCTGCACTAGAGGGGTGTAATAACACAACTGAACATGTTGATTAAAACTATCTAAGATATGTCCAGGAGGCCCAGGCTCAAGTCCCACCTGACCCAGAAGAATGTAATAACATCTCTGAACAGGTTGATTAGAAAATATCTAATGTATGTCTAGGTTGGAGTCTTGTTGCATAATACATGCCCTTACCTCTGAGCCGGAAGGCCAGGCTCAAGTCCTACCTGCTCCAGTGATGGGTAGTAACATCCTTGAACAGATTGTTTAGAAAATATCTAAGATATGTCTAGGACAGGGTTCTTGTGATGCAGTGATGATGTTCTTAAGCCAGAAGGTCTGGGATCATGTCCCATTTGATCCAAATGCACGTCATAGCATCTCTGAACAGGCGGTTTATAAAATATGTAAAATATCTCCAGTCCTTACAACATCACGAGATTACTACAATAATTCACTCTGATAATGCAAGGTCTATATGCCAGGACCACGTATTATATTTGTGAATGGCCACGATTGAAATGAACCTAGTACCTCACAGGACTATCCTTCTTGGATTCAGGATAGCAACAACGTACTGTCCAATACAAGATATACTGTTGCAAGTTAGACCTATAAACACAAAGGTGATGTCGATAAAAGTTTAGGATGGGATGTGGAGAAAAGAGTTACAGCCGAAGCAAAATGTCAGCAATTAAATTGGTAAATAATTCATTGCTTTGGGCCAGTCATCAGTATGGCATGAGTATTAAAAGAAATTCCCTTGCTTTTCAACTGGTCCATGTGATATTGATTAGTTTTATTGATTTGTTGTCCTTTTGGAAAGAAACTTCAAAAAGGTTACTTTATTTTGCTCGCTTTTCTTAGCCTTCTCTTGAGCCAAACAATCAGCTCCGAAGCATTCAGTATACTGCTTTGAATCGGCCAGTTGGAGATTCAACAATGTAGTCTAAGAGTGAGCCATCCTTCTTTTCTTCCTTTTCTGTGGGAGAGTGCCAGTCTTTGTTCAAAAATTTACCACAGCATCACATTTCATTCTAACAGGAAAGCTGCTGTCAAACATCTACTGTCACTAGCCACTAAAGAGGTGCTCTAAATTTGCCAGTAGTGACATTCTCTTCAACCAGAGACAATGTTGGAGTCATGCCCTTTCCTCATCACCAAATTGGTTGTAAAGCATTTTGGACACCATAAGGCAAGGTACTATATAAATGGAGATTATTATTTTTGTATTTTTTTTAAATTTTCGTTTTGTTTAATTTCAGAAACTCCTTAAAAGAGAGAACTCAATACCCCAATCTGGAAAAGATGGAAGTAAACACAAAGTTATATTGGGACATGTTTAAAGTATGACATTTTGAAGTGACAACAATTAATTCCTCTTTACTGACCTCAGCTTGGCATTTCCAGAATTCAGCTTCCTTTCTGCTGTTCACTTCACAGTTAATAACAAGAACATCAGGTAAGCATCGAATATTCCTGGTTTGAACCTGGAACATAATACAATGTCCAATCAACATAAACTTTCATTCAGTTCTGATGAAAGGTCAACAAACTAAAAGTAAACTCTGTCATTCTCTCCACAGATGCTGGCAGAACTGCTGAATATTTTCAGCATTTTCTGTTTGTATTTCTGAAAATGTAATAGGTTGATTTGTAACAGTGCACACGACTTTTTTGAGACAATGCCACAAACGTATACAATAGTTTCGACTTAGGTGAAAGACCAGAGAGATCCCATGAGTGTAATCGTAGCCTATAGCCTGTTACTTCATAGCATTGCTAGCAATTAAGACAAGCTTGTTTTTAGAAATTTTTGCAACCAATTATTATTTTCTGTAGATAGGCTACAATGTTCCTGCTATATTTAAATATAAAATGTACTCTCGGATGTCTTGACAAAGTTGTAAACTGAAGTAATCAATCAAGCAATGCGGACTTTCATAAGTAAAGAATCTTTATTCCCTGTCAATGCTGAATGTACACAGCTTTGTTTTAATTCCTGCAATAGGAATCCAATCTAAATGCACCAAAATCTTTCCATTAGCTACATTATCAAGAAGTCCACATTTCCTGTACTTCTTGGCTAACAGAACCCAATTGACACATTTTCACTAGTTGCAGTGCAAGCAGTGGAACAGGCAAATAGGACTTCAGTTCAACATCTCACACAAAGGATTGCATCTCTGACAACAGAACACGTCCACAAGACTAAACGTGAAGTAAAAACAGAAATTTCTGGAGAAACTCAGGAGGTCTGGCAGCATCTGTGGGGAAAAAAGCACAGTTAACCTTTTGCATCTGGCAACTCTTCATCAGAAGAGTTAGCAGCAAGGAAAAGGTGGCATTGATTCTGAAGCCGAAGTTGGGGTGGCGGGGGGAGAAGATGTGGGCAGATAGGTGGAGATGGAGCCCAGAGAAAGAGAGATAGAGAGATAGATATGAAAGGGGTAGGTAAACAAGGAGATAATGGATAGTAGGCCAGGACAGAAAAAAAAGCTGAAGAAGTGATAGCAAGAGCTAAGAGTAGGAGAAAATGAGTGAGCTCTGCTGAATACAACCCATATAATTGGTAATGGGCCTAGGAGTACATGAGAAGGGTTACTTTTAGCACAGTGACCCAATGTCATAACATAACAGGGTATTGGGTGGGTAAAATCATGGAAGGATAGAATCAGGCTGTGAAGCCATTGAACTTGATGTTGAGACCTAGAGGATGGACGGTCCCCAAGCGGACAATGAGATGTTGTTCTTCGAGCTTGCGCTGAGGCTCGCTGTAACACTGCAGCAAATCTGTGACAGAAATACTGGCCAGGGAACATGGTGGTGTGTTGAAGTGGTGAGCAACTGGAAGCTCAGGGTCATTTTTGTGGATATAACAGTGTTCTGCAAAGCGGTCACCCATTCTGCGTTTTGTCTCCCCAGTGGACAGCAGACCACATTGTGAACAGAGAATACAGTACACTAGACTGAATGTGAAGTACAGGTAAATCACTGGTTCAACTGGAAGGTATGTGTGGGACCAAGGAAGGAGGAGGTAAACAGACAGGTATTACACCTTCTGCGATTGCATGGGAAGGTGTCGTAGGGGTGTGAGATGATGTTAGGAATGGAGGAGGAGTGAACCAGATTGTCCCAGAGGGAACAGTCTGTGTGGAATGCTGACAAGGGAGGGGACGGGAATGTGTGTCTGGTCACAGCATCTGGTTGGAGGTAACAGAAGTGACAGCTTACAATCCTTTGGATGAGGAGGCTGGTGGGGTGCTAAGTGAGGAGCCGAGGACCTTATCGTTGTTATGGAGGTGGGGGGGGTGTTGGAAAGGGTGAGAGCAGAAGTGTGAGAGATGTGTTGAACAGGGCTAAGGGCCCTGTCAACCACAGTAGCAGGGAATCCTCGGTTGAGGAAAAAGGTGGACATTTTGGAGGACCCCTGTGGAAAGTAGCATCGTCAAAACAGATGCAATAGAGATGGAGAAACTGGGAGAATAGGATAGATGTTCCATGTACACCACAAAGAAACAGGCATTACTGGGGACAATGCAGGTACAAACATTCATACCTTTGACGTGAAGAAAATGAGAGGTGTTAAGGGAGAAGTTGTCCAAAGTGAGGACAAGCTTGGCCAGGTGGATGAGAGTGGTGTTGGGGATGATTCAGGCCTTCTTCCCAGGAAGAAGTGGAAAGCCCGAAGACCATCCTGAGGGGCGATGGATGTGTAGAGGGATTACACATCCATGCTGAAGAGGAGGTGACTGCTGACCACAAACTAGAAATTTTGAAATTGACAGAAAGCGTCAGAAGAATCTCAGATATAAGCGGGGAGGGACTAGATAGGGGGAGAAAAAAATAAGAATCGAAGTAGGAAGAAATAAGTTCGTGGGGCAGGAACAGGCAGAAACAATGGGTCTGCCCAGGCAATCCTGTCTGTGGGTTTTGGGGAGAAGGTAGAAGTGGTTGGGGGACTAAGAGCTGGGAGGCTGGCGTGGGGAGATCCAGATGAGAAGAGATTGGTGACAGTTGTGGCCACAATGGCCTAATGCTCAAAGGTGGGGTCATGGTCCAGGGAGATAGGAAGAGAACACCTGCATTTTGTCCGCAAAAATGACCTGAGCTTCCAGTTACCTGCCATTTCAACACACCACAATGTCCCCAGGCCAATATTTCTGTTGCAGGCCTGCTGCACTGTTCCAGAAAGCCTCAGTGCAGGCTGGGAGAACAGCTTGAGGACCGTGCAGCCTCTAGGACTCAACATCGAGTTCAATAACTTTAGAGTCTGATTCTATCCTTTCATGATTTTTATCCACCCCACACCCAGTCCTGTTATGACATGGACTGCTTTTAGCGCAGTCACCCACTCTCACATACTCCTAGGCCCGTTAACACAGCATATGGGTTGCATTCAGCACAGCTCACCCATTTTCTCCTACTCTTAGCTCTTATTATCACTTAATCAGCACTTTTTCTCTCCCGGCCTGCTATTCATAATCTCCTTGTTTACCTACCCCTTTCATATCTCTCTTTCTCTGGACTCCATCTTCACATATCTCCTCACCTCTTCGCCCCCCCGCCACCTAGCTTTGGCTTCAGCATCCATACCACCTTTTCCAAACTGCTAAGTTCTAATAGAGAGTCACCAGAAGCAAAATGTTAACTCTGCTCTTCTTCCCCCAGAGATGCTGCCCGACCTGCCGAATTTCTGTTTGTGTTTCAGATCTCCAGCATTCACAGTAATTTGTTTTACTAAGCTTGCAGTGTCAGGTAAGATAGATGGCATATGATCCTTCAGGCTAGACTGCTGCTACTCCCTTGTCTTTTCCCATAGCCCTGCAAATCTTTCCTCAATTTGGGCTTCATTGAAATTTGAACTCAGGTTGCTGGATTTAGAGTCCAAAGTACTTACCATTACACTATGGAACACATGGCTGAAAAGGAAGAATGTTCAGGGATACGGGAAGGCAGCATGGGGCTGACACAAGGTGACTTGCTTCTTCAGAAGACGAGTACAGACAGATCAGGCCAAGTGGCTCTCTTTTGTGCTGTAACCGTTCTATGATTCTACGTACGATATTATTTCATTATGCAAACACAGTACAGTTAAGATATTCTAAAAGTAATTGGACAAACTCCCTCAAAATTTCTTCGACTTTTTTACACCATAGTCTGCTCCTGCTCATCAAGTTACTCTCTTCCAATTTGATCCAGTATTCATTACACATGACACATTACATCAGTCATGGCATAATTTTCAATTAAAACACAGCTCCTGGCAAATAAACCAAGACCTCACTAGCTGCAAACTTCCCTCAGTCCAAATGTTAAATGCTTTCAGACGCAATGCAGACATACACTTTCATCAGTAGTTCTATTTCAATTCATCATTAAACTTCTCTTCATACACATTTGAATACAATGAACTGATTTGTTCACAATACCTATTTGTCTTGTTACTTTTATCTCCTCAATATTTAGCATCCTATTAACAAAATTAATACAAAATATACTAACCGTAGGTTGGTATTTCTCACAGTTTTCGCACCAGGCCTGGGTGTTCTGTTCAAGGCAAATACTTCTCTTCAGTACTTCAGCAAACTCATACTGTCGAATACTTTTGTCTAAAGTCAAAAACGCATTTCATGAGTTTATTCAGTCCAAGATTGAGGTCAATCAATTTATAATTTTTCAAGCAGCTTTGAACTCAATACAGACAAAGAAGACAGATTTATCTTCTCACAATACCAACTCCTGCCTGTTTTAAATTTTATCTTTCTTCTTTACAGAAGATAATCTTCTTTTTCTGTCTTGTTCAAAATCTTATTTCTGATATTAGAATTTTCAGGAAGAGCAAAAACATAGTTTGAAACAGAAACTATTCCCTGAGTGATTTGGTTGGTGCTTTTTAAAATGACCAATGGTAGGTTCTTCGACTGATCATTCAAAATTGGTTATTTTCACACGTGTTATGATCCCAAGCTGATGATATTACCAGACAAGTCAGATCCCAGACAGGAATCTGGCTTGATAAATCACATTTTGATTTGTTTTAGCATTAACAAAGTAGTCTCTCACGAAAACATAAGCACACAATGCTGCAGATCATGTTTCAACAACAAAAAGTTGATTAACAAAAGAAATGAAGATAAAATAGAATAAACCAAAACATCTACTTATAATACAAAATCAAAGCTGTTTTAAACACACAGCAAAAGCATAATCGCAAAACATTCTTCTATAAATTGAAAAGAAAAAATGGCTTTTGTACAGTACCCAAAATATACCTCTGGTCCAGTACCCAAAGTACCACTAGTACAACACTCACACCAGAGTCCCTCTATCTAGCACCACATGAAAAGTACTATATGCCTGAACTTAAATGTACTCAGTTCTAAGTAACCTCTTCAGGATTTTATCACAACACTTCTGGTCTGGGACTATCACTCACTCTTCACTGTAATGTAACTAGCTCACTGTATATCCTTCCCTGTTCAGGAGCACCGATCTACACAGCCATTCTAGTCCAAGGATTTGACAGGACTGCTCAAAATTCAAAGTAAAAGTGATACCAAAAGTCTCCCTCTCCAAGATATGGGTGCTACCTTACTCTTTTTAAAAAAAGTTCCAACTTTCTAAAAAGCCTCGAGGCCTTTTTACCTACCTTGCTGTGTCGCAAAACATTCTAAGGTAAACAAAAAAAAAATCCATTGGTGGTGCATATAAACCTGTTCACTCTAAAGTCAGGCCTCAAAAACTGCTTAAAAGAAATCACCATAACAACAGAAATACTTACAAGTTAATAATTAACTTCAGACACGCAGAAAACTCTCAGGTTACTAACTCAAAACCAAACTCAAATTTACGGTCTTGCCCTTCATAGTTTCTCCAACAGTTTTCTGGCTACTATCCTTGTCTCTGATTTAGATGTTCTGTAGTTCTTTGATTCTAATTTAATAGGAGTTAAATCAAAAAACAAAAACAAAAGTATTATAAAAAGCAAATGACTAATAAGGAATTTCCACCATATTATTAGGTAATCTCCCAGAATGCAGACATGGGAGGACAATCTTCAAATGAAGTAGGAGATAACCAGACCAGTAAGCATACGTGAAATTTAGCTCTCATCTTAAAATAATGCATTACCATTTCTATGTAATACTTTGATTTCTGGTTATTTGTGGCTTAATAGCAAAGCATGTGGCAATTTGGAAATGAGACAGAGTTTATTGGTACCTTGGATTTTCTCTACAGTACAAGCTGAAAAGCTTGGAAACTCTGAATTGAGGCACTAAACTGTGATCACACGTAGGAAAGTATAATCACAGTTTGCTAAGTTCTTATGCAGAGCTTTCATTATAAATATAGGCATTATGAATTTATAAATATGACAAGGTGACAGAAGTGCAAACAGTGGACTTGTTGGGCTGAAGGGCCTGTTTCCACACTGTAGGGATTCTCTGATCTGATCTATGATCTAAGACTTTTCAAAATATTACAGATAGTAAATAATTTTGAGACAGCTACACTTCAGGGTTAATCATATCACCTGTAAAATTTATAACACCCTTTAACAAAGTACAAAGCATAGTACGAGTACTTTACTGTTAATATGTTTTGACCTTAAAGAGAACTTGGAAATTTTACAAGTAGTTACTAGCCTATTGAGAAAATTCACCTAATAGAAGCTATGTGGGCCAAATTGCCACAGAGCTGCACTACTCTATGATCCAAAGTCAGAAAGAGCTCAATGGGAATAAGCTTCTGTCCCGTTACAGTAATCAAACTTTGTGGCTGTAAAGGGAGTGCAGCAGAGTGCAACATGCTACATATTACTTAAAAAACATATTCCAACTCACTTCAAGAAATGCCTCAAAAGATCAGATTTATCAATATGAAGCTTTGAGAATGTCCATCATACTCCAGACATGGTGCTTGAATGTGTCAAAAGTATAAAGATATCCTGAACTGCAAGGGAAAGATGAGGCAATTTGTGAGACCCATCATTCTCTATGCATTACTCACCAGCACTTTTCATATCAGGATACTGTAAAGTGAAAAGCAGACTTGAAGAAACGCGAACAGTTTCTTTTCCACAGCGGCAAGTACTACAGTTCTCAACTTCACAACCAAACAGCTTCCCAATCACAGATTCACCAGAGGATCCAAATGTACTGAAATTAAAAAGTGATAATGTTTTAGAATATTGCATTTAAGTAGTATGGTATATATTCTACTTCATACAAATAGCAATTAGGCTCATGTTTACTTTAACCATTAATCATGTAAAAGCCACCACTCCCCACACACACACACACACACACACACACACACACACACAATGGGGCTGAGATTTAGAACTCACGCAAATGAAGGATGGAAATAGGAGCATGAAACCTACAGAGAGGTCATGTTTTGGTGCTGAGGCACTTGCACTACAAAGTATAAAGTCTATATCACTTATCGCAGAAACTATCAACAGCCCACTAGATAAAACAAATTATTAAACAACATTTTTGTTCAGAAATTGCTGCTCTCTAATGTTACAATTGTGGAGAATCTCAAAGATCCTCTAGAGTGTGATTATCCTTTAAAAGCACATATTATTGCATTTTTCCTGTTCTGTATCAGAATTAATAAATCTGTACGAGTTCTAGTTTAAGTCTACATTACCTCCCCATGACACTTCGATAGGCCTGTGGGCCCTCCTGCTCCTGTGTCTCTTGGTGCAGTTGCGTCAATATAAATCGATTCCAGCTCTGTATGAGTCGGCCTAAATTCACCTTCCCAGTTGCTTCATCAGAATCAGCCAAGATCAATCCCAAAGCTGATGCTTCTGGAATAGTTCGGAAAGCACGAAGGAAATTGCTGGCCTAACAGAGTAAAGGAAAAAGAGAAGAGAAACAGGATGTTGCTTTTCTCCTAATTTTCATCCATCCGGAGCTTACAAGTCGAACTTGCTAGTTTCAAAAGAAATAGGTGACTATATAGATGTACTCAATCTGAATTTCAACAGCATAGAAAAGAACACCATTACCATTTACTTCATGTGAGTACCTCTATTTCAAAGTAAACCATGATAGTAACATAAAGGAAAATAGGCTTAAAGTGCTGGAAAGCAGAATTGTTTCCTCCCCCTTCCTTTTTTAATTCTATTAATTACCTTCTAATTGGAGATGTCTACACCCAAAATATGTACCTTTCCAGTCTCTTTAAGATGCAGACAGATCCACTGCAAGTTTCTAGTAGGTTTAAATCTGGGTAAGTTGACACATTTTTCAAAAGCCTGTTGGATGCCCTGATAGAAGGTTTCTGTATTTATGGATCAGCTACGATGGAATGAAAATATTTCCTGATCTTTACCTACTTTGTGCATTTCTACTAATGGTGTTTTTTATTAGCTGAGTTAGCACAACTCAAAAATGAGCATTTATAAGCATTTTCTAGATTGCCTTCCTTAATCGTTTAAACATATTTCAAAATGTTTTTTGGTTTTAGTCAGTCATTCATCAACTACAAAAAAAATGCCCATACAGAAGTGTCTCCAAAGCAAACTGCTCAGAAAGACACACAACAACAGCTTCTTTCCCCAATAAGTGCACGCTCTCCCCTTACTGGGGCATAATACTCCATTTCCCAAATTCACAAGATTGCCAACGGTCAAAAGATTAGGGAGCGTCAAGTCTGCACAGCATTATTGTAGGGAGTTTAACCATAGAAGGCTGCACTGCAGTACATGTAGCACCAGCTGGAAACATTAGGGCCCTTGTTAAGGCTTTTTTTTAAAAGAGTGTGCTTATCTTGTTTGTAGAGATTTTGCAGCATTGCACACCACCTCTCTTGGGAAAACGTGAGGACCACCTACACCAAAGTCGCCATGTCTGACAGACCCAGAGAAAGATGGAGACAGTGCAGGCGCAGAAATTCCCCCAAACACCAACAACATAAATTCTAAGTTTTCTGGACATCCATAGATATCATACATCAGGCCCTTCAGTCAACAGAGAACCCAAAGAAGATGATGAAATTGTTGCAGTGCTGGGGCCTCATTACTTTACAATTATTTAAATGTCTTGGATGAAGGGGGCAAAAGTATGGCTGCTAAATTTGCTGATGACACAAAGGTAGGCAGGAAAGTAAGCTGTCAAAAGGATATAAGAAGGGTACCAAGGATGAGTGGAAGTAGCAAATGGAGTATAACATGGAAAATGTGAAATTGCCCATTTGGCAGGAAAAATAAAAAAAAAAGCATATGGTCTAAACTGTGACAGATTGTAGAGCTCTGAGATGTAGTGGATTGAAGTGCATGAATCACAAAAGTTTGTGCAAAGGTACAGTAAGTAATTAGGAAACCTAATAGAATGTTAGCATTTATTGCAAGGAAACAGAATACAAAAGTAGGAAGTTTATGCTTCAGTTATACAGGGCACTGCCGAGAGCATATATGAAATACTGTAAATAGTATACAGGTCTCCTTGTTTAAGAAAGGATGTAAACACATTGGAAGCAGTTCAACTAATGTTTATGCCTGAAATTGGCAAGTTGTCTAATGAGGAAATGTTGGACAAGTTAGGCTCATATCCCCTGGTGTTAAGAAGAATAAGTAGCAACTTGATTGAAACATACAAGATCTTGAGGGTTCTTAACAGGGTGGATGTGGTGATGTTTCTGCTTATGGCAGAATTTAGCACTAGAGATCACTGTTTAAAAATAAGCAGTTGTCTATTTAAAAATGAGATTCTTTTTTCTTTCAGACGATTGAGTCTTTGGAACTCTCTTCCTCAAATATGGCACAAATAGAGTCTTTGATAACACAGTGGGGAGCTGGAAGAGCACAGCAGGCCAGGCAGCATCAGAGGAGCAGGAAAGTTGACGTTTTGGGTCTGGACCCTTCAATATTTTTTAGGCCGAAATAAATAGATGCTTGATAAGCAAGGAATTGAAAGGTTATGAGTAGGTGAGAATGTGAGTAACCAGATCAGCCATGATCATACCAAATGGCAAGGGGCAACATGGCCCTAATTCGTACAATCATATGTAAAGTTTGGACATATTCAAACAATGAGAATTCAACTGTTATATGGGACCATTGGGTTCCTGGGACTTTCCTGGCTATATGTTGTCAAAAAGAAGAATTCCAGCCATAAGTTCATCTTTCTATTCATCCAGCCATAAGACAGGTGGCTAGTCAATCATGAGCAGTATCCAAGAATACTGCAGGCCCTACAGACTCAGGTATCAGATTTTCAAATCCACTGAAGTTCTGATATTCCATTGCTGGGTGTATCACCTTGGAGAAAACAATGACTCCCAAAATTAAACAACATACAAAATCAACGGACTGAGGGAAAAAAATGACAGAACAATAATTCCACTGTAAAACTGCAGGTGGTGCTGTTAAGTTTAATAGCACATTCAGTTGAAATTAGTAGTACCATTATTGTTTGCAAAGTAGTTTTTAGCATTAACAATTATGCAACTGTAATGTGAAATATAATAGGTGCAAATAGTATACAGCATACAGTATGGGAAGAAATCTTAACCAGAAGATTAGTACACTCAAGTCACAACTGTTCAAAATTTGTGGCTATTTTGTGAAATATGAAAAAAATTACAGAAACTTACACAAGATTCCATTCATCGTAGTTTGCTTTAACCCGAGTTTGGAACACAGATTACAGTAAAAACTTTAAATGATAACAACACTGCCAAAGTACAGTCATGTTGTATTGTACAATGTGACAAGATTAGATAGATAATTGCTGCTTCCAATCACAGAATCCGTACAGTGTGGAAACAGGCCCTTTGGCCCAACAAGTCCACACCGACGCTCAGAACATCCCACCCAGACCCATCCCCCCTCTGTAACCCACCTAATCTACACATCCCCCAATTTAGCATGGTCAATCCACCTAGCCTGCACATCTTTGTACTGTGGGAGGAAACTGGAGCACCCGGAGAAAACCCACACAGGCACGGGGAGAATGTGCAAACTCTACACAGACAGTCGCCCGAGAGTGGAATTGAACCTGGGTCCCTGGTACTGTGAGGCAGCAGTGCTAACCACTGAGCCACCGTGCTGCCCAAGGATTATAGCGGCATATCATGTATTTGTGACTAATATTTTTCTTTGCAGGATCTCTAATGTAATTACGAAGTAAATAACCACTTAAGTAGCTATTCGATGTCTCAGTGCTGTAGATTTTTAATTTTAAAAAATTTTTTTTACGTGCACTATCACAAAAACAGTGCTATAATAAGTTGAGATGTTTGAGTTTCACCACAGGCACAGGTACAGAAGGAAATCTAGAGAAAATCATCTTTCTACTGGTCTGTGTTTGCTCTGAAGAAGCTCGACAGTAATGGCCTACAATTGGTTGAGCCATTCTCTGACCTGTAGGTGGCTGCAGAGATATGACAGGAAAGAAAATAAGAGGCTAACATTGTTCAAAAATGAAATTTAATTGCAAAGATCATATAGAAACAGTGGCAATCTGTTTTTAAAAATTGAAAATATAAGGCAAACAGCATCTAAAAGGTTAACATTTATTGAGTGGGACCCTTTGCAAAATATTAGGTTACCATAATCTTCTGGCTATTGATGAATGCTATTTCCTATTACTTACACAACTTGTCTGCAGTTTGTGTCACTAGATGTCACAAACAAAACTCGTTCCAAAACTCAATCTCCCATGTTAATTAAATCATATATTTCAGGACTATAATTCCCAATGAAACATTAAACTATGGCTAACTAATGCATTTGTGACTGGACTTAATCATCAAAAGTTTAAACATTTTAATCATAAACTATTTTATTATCATTTTAAAGAGTGGAAAATTTCTAAAGGAGAGAAAAAAAAGTAAGATGATCCCAGCTGTTGGTACCACTAGGCAAGTCAGATCCCAGAATGAAATATGGCTTTATAGATCCTTTTCTGAAAAAAATAATTTAGTTAACATGGCGGTCAGGCAACGAAATATAGTCAAACAAGGCTGCGGAGTTTTGTTTTAAACAAAAGAACAGACATTTACAAAATGAAATGAATAAAAGCTTTGGCAATACACTTGATTAGGTCACTGTTTCAGAAGGACTGTTTGACCTTGTTTTTTTAAAAATGCTTCACAAAAATAACCAACCTATATGCCACTATTTTGAAATCCAAACTCTAAAAATGATTAGATTTTCAACCTCATTCCCAAAGACAGTTCTGAAGAATCATACTGCACTCGAAACATTAACTCTGTTTCTCTCTCCACAGATGCTGCCATACCTGCTGAGTTTCTTCAGTATTTTCTGTGTTTGTTTCTAAAAATCCATATATACTTATACCTTTCATCACAGAGGGAAAAGAATTGAGAATAGAAAAACCTTTAGATCAGATTTAATTTTTGTATTTTGTCTCTTCTGAGAACAAACAAAAAAAGCTTTTTTTAAAAGTACTTATTTGCTGTTTCTTCAGACACTGATAATTTCAAAGAGTTTGCAGTATTTTCTGTTTAACATTTCCAGCAATTGTAGTTTTTTGCCAATTGTTCAAAATATGCAAAAAGTGGACAGCAACTCTGGTTAACAAGGTACATTCGGAACAATCCACAACATTTGGCATGATCAAAGATCTAACCCAAGTGGACACAAGTAATGTTCCCTCTAAGCTATACAACTTAAAAGTCCCTATACAGGCCCCTTTAAATCACCATGCCTGACGGTATTAGAAAAATTAAAGGGTTCCACACTTAACAAATTGCCTGCTCACTCAACAAAAAAAATTGAAGGAACATCAGACAGGCGAAAAATCTATCTTACAAGAGCCAGACTGGCTCAGTAATCATTTACCTGACACGGGTCGCCTCGTGAAAGATCAAGCATATGAAATAGGAATCCGAGTTCACAGCCCAAGCAAAATTCTTTCTGACATAGATGATTCTGAACGTGGCAGCGGATGGGCTCCAGCAGATACAGCACCTATAACAGACAAACAATGACAGACAAAAAGAAAATGCACACATCAACATATTGAAATTTAAGATAAATCACAAAACTATCACCGAGATCTAGCTTAAAACTGTAAATCATGCAGTGTGATAGATGCTATTTCTAGGAAATGAAACAATTTCCATATCAGGTACTCACTGTTTCATCAAGTACTCCCAGATTAGATATGGAGAAAAGTGCCCCTACCCTGTCCAAGCAGTATGCCTTATCGCCACAAGTATGTAGAATTTTTCTTCTTTTCTGACCTTTAGGAATGATATTGACAATCTAATCTAAGTTTCTGGAGCCAAGGCCAGAAGAAATTGGACTGAGATGGCCAAAATCATTTTACTTAGATCCCTAACAAGTTGGCCAAGAAGTTAAATTGTAAACCATGGGGTCTCATCTGCTCCTAGAATTGATTAATAATTTGCTCTCTAGCCTGTCTGTCTAATGTACAACCATCTACCAGGATGTATTCTGGTGTGGTTCTGGTTGATTAGCCTACTGATTTCCCACTTTCTTCCTGCATACAGGGCAACACCTAGACTTTGTTTATTCCCTAATCACTTCAAGTTCCCCATTGAGAACTGGGAAATAGTAGTGGAGTAGGAAATCATGGGCACAAAACCACATTTGCCCTTTGTGGCTTTGTATACTTGTTCCATAGAACCAGGCCATCAATTCAGTATAGAAATAGCGTTTGAAAACAATTTTTAAAAAATGTATTCAATATCTAATGTGATAAAAACACAATACAGTGTAGTTTCCTTTGCTTGTTCCAACCTCAGGCAGTTCAGTAATGTAAACTAAACATAGGTTTTAAAAAAAAACTATAACTATAAGTAACAACAGTTTGAATTCAAATATTCCCCATTCTGAACATAATGCAAGATGAATTATCACTTGCATGTTCACAAATGTACATAAAACATTCTTAAAATCATATTTCTTGAATTAGACAAAAAGAGCATCAATATATGATACAACAGATATCAATATATGGTACAACAGAATGATGGGATGCAAGATCAGTTCCTTACTTGCTAAAATCAAGGGTTTTGTTTATAGTTCAGTTAATTGGACGGCTGGTTTGCGATGCAGATAACAACACCAGCATGGGTTTAATTCCTGCACCGGCTGAGGTTACCATGAAGGACTCTCCTTCTCAACCTCTCCCCTCTCCTGATGTGTGGTGGTCCTCAGGTTAAACCACTAGTCAACTCTCTCTAGTAAAGAGAGCAGCCCTATGGTCTGGTAAGACTATGACGACTTTACCATCTTAGCTTTATTTATATTTGCTAATTTTATAGATTTTGGTTAATTTACAACCAGAAGATAATAAAAGTGTGGAGAATGAGAAGGCAATGAGAGATGGGAAGAATGTCCCTGACCTGAATCATACAGTTGCAGTAAGCATTGGGAATGTGTGGCTCCAGACCTGCAAACAGCGTCTTGTTGTAGTGTTTGAAATCAAAGTCTTCTAAACCAAGTTTTGAGTATTTTATAGTGACCTAAACAAAAACATGTACAATCAAACAGCTGAACAATTCAGGCAGAGATCAAATATTTCAAATAATTCTTCATCATTAAACTGATACTTAACACAAGCAATTGTACATTTCTGGTTGTAAAAGATGTAAACCCAAAGGCTTGATACAAATTTCAAGGTTAATGAAAGATCTAATATTCTAGTTTAACTTGAGGATACAACCAACACTTCCAGAAATATTTGCTCCCTTACAAAACTCAAAATTCAAGACAATATCCCTCAATGACACACGCCCTCTCCTGTGAGCTTCTGTTCAAGAAGATTTCAAGACTGTACAATCTTCTTATTCCAGGGCAGACAGCATACAAAACAATGATTTCAACATGGCAAAAATATCATAACAATGATATTAAAACGGAAGGGCAAGTGACCAGAGATTTGTCAAACACCAGACTGAACAGCAGATGCAAGAAGCAGAGGTACATTAAGACCAGAGCTGTTCTTCTTTTTTTGCACTGAGGAGGCACATTCCAGTTTCTGTCTCCCTTACTGGTGGTGGTGGCGGCGGTGGGGGTGGGGGGGAATTAGCACATTTCAGAAGGATAGAATTTGGTACAACAGGAAACATGAATTTCACAGAAAAAAATCCAAATAAACAAATTGACAAATTTAAATAAATAATGAATAAAATTACTATCAAAAAGTGCAATGCAGCAGTTATTAATAAAACCTCATTTTGCCTTTTTGATTAAAAAGCAGAGGTAAGGGAAAAAAAAACTGGGTTCCAAGTCTTGATCTTTAGGGAAAGGAGTGGGGACTATTGCCAAGCTAAGGAACTGAGTTTAAACTTGCACTGACCTTCGTAGCCTCTGATGGGTCACACTCTGAGCTGGCCTCAGTGGAATTCACACGAAAATGGCTTGCCTTGCAGTTTTAGCTTTCTGAAGGCAGGAGGAGGAGGAGGGGAAAAGTGGCTGTGTGTCAAACTTAGTGTCAGTCACACACACACACCCACACAGGCCTAGGATGTTTGGTGATTCATATTGCTAAAGAACAGTATGAACAGATATAAGGGTGCTAATACGTATGTCCTCCCACCCAGTTTAACGTTCCAGCTGTCTTGGGCTGTGCTGTTAGAGTCTAACATAAAAGGATGTAATATAATTTAGAAATGCAAAATATAATCAAGCAGATCAACATGGCTTCATGAATGGGAAATATTGCCTGATAAACTTTTTAGCATTCTCTGAGGTGGTAACAAGCTGGCTATATAAAGGAGAATGAGTAGATGCAAAATATTTTTATTCCAAATGGTGCACAATAAGGTACCACATACAAGGTCATTTCGTAAGATAAGAGCCCATGGGTAGTAGATTAGCAGGGACAGAGGATTGGCAAATAAACAGAAGGCAGAAAGTTGGGAAAAGGGGGCAGCCTGTAACGAGTGGTGTGCCAAAGGAATCAATGCTGGGGCCACAATTATTTACAATATATATGAATAACTTGGATGATGGAAATGAATATACCATTGCTAAGTTTGCGGACAACACAAAAATAGGTGGGAAGGCAAGTGGTGGCACAAAGCATCTCCAGAGGGATACACAGATATGTTAACTGAATGCATGGAAAATGTGGAACATGAGGACATGAGAGGTAATGCACTTTGGCAGGGGCTGAATATTGCTGCAATAGAGAGATAGAGATAAAGAGAAAGACTTTGGAAAGCCCCAGCACAGAGGAAATTGGAAGCCCTCATGCACAAGTCGCAAAAAGCTAACATACAAGTTCAGCAGGTATTAGAGAAGACAACTGAAATGCTTGCTTTAATTCGAGAGGGAATGGAGTATAAAAATGGGATGGTCTTGCCATATGTGGTTAACTGAAAAAAGTCAAAGGTAGCATCAACCTCAAAGAAAAGACGTATAATTGTCCAAAGATAGGCGGCAGGTCAGAAAATTGGACAGAATATAAAAAAACAGCAAGAAATTACAAAAAGACTAATAAGGAAGGAAAAATTAGAGTATAAAAGAAAGTTAGCCAAAAATATAAAAAGCAGATAGGTAGAGTGTCTTCAAATATTTCATAAAGAAAAGAGTTAACAAAGTAAGTGCTGGTCCTGTGGAAAATGAGTCTATGGAGTAAGAAATGGATATTTTCAGTCACTAGAGAGGATGCAAGTAGCATTCCACAAATAGCTACACATCAGGACTTAAAAGAGAGAGGGAGGAACTCAAGAATATTACAATTACCAGGGACTTAATTGAAACGTACAAAATGCTGAGGGGACTTGACCGGGTGGATATGGAAAGAATGTTTCTTCTTTGGGAGACTAGAACTAGGGGTCATTGTTTAAAAATAAATGGTCACCCATTTAAGGCAGATAAGGCAACACTTTTTCTCACACAGGATTGTCTCTTTAAAATTCCCTTCCCCAAAAGGCAATGGACACTTAATTTTTAAATATATTTTAAGGGAGAATTTGATAAATCCTTTAACAAAAACAGAAATGGCAGGGAAAGCTCAGCAGGTCCGGCAGCATTTGTGGAGAGAAAGAACATTCAGAAGAAGGGTCATCGGACTCAAAATGTTAACTCAGCTTTCTCTCTGATTTGATTGAGTTTTTGAAGAGGTAACAAAGAAGATTAATGAAGGCAAAGCGGTGGACATTGTCTATATGGACTTCAGCAAGGCATTCAACAAGGTTCTGCATGGTAGACTGGTTAATAAAGTGAGATCACATGGTATCCAGAGAAAACAAAATTGGCTTGAAACAAGGAGACAGAGGGTAGTGGTGGAGGGTTGTTTTTTGGACTGGAGGCCTGCAACCAGCAGCGTGCTGCAAAGATCGGTGCTGCATCCACTGCTTTTTGTCATTTATATAAATGATTTGGTCGTTAATATAAGACGAACGGTTAAGTTTGCAGATGACACCAAAATTGGTGGTGTAGTGTACAGTGAAGAAGGTTACCTCAGAGTACAACAGGACCTTGATCAGATGGGCCGATGGGCTGAGGATTGGCAGATGGAGTTTAATTTAGATAAACGTGAGGTGTTGCATTTTGTTAAGGTAAATCAGGACAGGACTTAATACACTTAATGATGGGGGCATGGGGAGTGTCATAGTTCCTTAAAGGCAGAGATGCAGGTAGACAGGGTAGTGAGGGTGGTGTTTGGTACACTTGCCATTATTGGTCAGTGCATTGAGTATAGGAGTTGGGATGTTATGTTGCAGCTGTATAGGACATTGGTTAGGCCACTTTTGGAATACTACGTTCAATTCTGGTCTCCCTGTATAGGAAAGATGTTGTTAAACTTGAAAGGGTGCAGAAAAGACTTACAAAGATGTGGCTGGGGTTGGAGGCTTTGAGCTATAGGGAGAGGCTGATAGGGTGGGTCTATTTTCCCTGGAGCATCGGAGGCTGAGGGGTGACCTTATACAGGTTTATAAAATCATGAGGGGCACAGACAGGGTGAATAGTCAAGGTCTTGTCCCCAGGATCGGGGATTCCAAAACTAGACAGCATAGAGTTAAGATGAGAGGGGAAAGATTTAAGATGAGAGGGGAAAGATTTAAGAGAGACCTGAGGGGCAACATTTTTGCACTGAAGGTGGTGCATGTATGGAATGAGCTGCCAGGGAAGTGGTGGAGGCTGGTACAATTACAACATTTAAAAGGCATGTGGATGGATACATGAATAGGAAGGGTTTAAGAGGGATACAAGCCAAATGCTGGCAATTGGGACTAGATTAATTTAGGATATCTGGTCAGTGTGGACAAGTGGGATCAAAGGGCCTGTTTCTGTGCTGTACAACTTTTATGACACCTCTATATTTAGAATAACAGTTCATACCAGTAGGGCAATTTGTGCTCAAAAGTTAGTTAACCTTTTTAAAACATGCCATTCAATATCTAGTTTTCTTTAATGTTTTGTCTATATTAATATAACTACAAATCTCAACACAGTATGGATTTTTTGAATGCTGCTGGAAAGAGAGCCATGTGGCCAAAGCTTTTCATCTTCCATTCATCAAGACAAACATAAGAATGCCAAATATCAAAATAATTACAGTAACTTGTACTATGGGAGAATACATGCTGATTGATTGGCATGTCGTGGCTAAGCATACAGAATTTTTTTCACTTAAGGTGTTGCTGTCAGTACAAAAAGACATTCTGCATATCACACAAATGAAAAATGCCATATATGAATTCCAGTGATAGTGAAATGCTAGATATATAGGCTGCACATCCCAGCAATCGGCTGATCAAATCAAGCAGCGTGCCCCTTTGGCTGTATGTAACAGGTAGAGTACAGACTGTACTCTGCCACGCCACACTGGCAAAACCCAAAAGACAAATTCTCTTGTTAGATGCAACTCCTCAATCAGGCAGCACTTGCTGAGCAATCCAAAGTATTCTAGTACTTTGGGGAGGCGATGGCCTACTGGTATTAATCGCTGGACTGATAATCCAAAGACCCAGATAATATTCTGGGGACCTGGGTTCGAATCCGGTCACAGCAGATGGTGGAATTTGAATTCAAAAAATATCTGGAATTAAGAATCTAATGATGACCATGAATTCTTTGTCAATTGTTGGGGGAAAAACCCATCTGTTTCACTAATATCCTTTAGGGAAGGAAACAGCCATCCTTATCTGGTCTGGCCTACATGTGACTCCAGACCCACAGCAATGTGGTTGACTCTTAACTGTCTCATGGGCAATAAATGCTGCCTAGCCAGCAATGCCCTCATCACGTGAGTGAATTTAAAAAAAAAGCTGCATTCACAATCAATTTAAGATAATCAGTTGAGTTCATAACTTGGCTCATTTACGCTTGCCAAAGGCAAAACACACAGCAAACATTCTTCAAACAGAAGGTGTATGGCTAAGCCTTGAATCTTCACTGAATTACCTAAGAGCTTGGGGAGCCTATAGTTCCTGGTTCCTCTTTCTTTAGCAATGACTCATCCAGTCAGCACCATTTCCTCCTTCAGCATAAGTTGTTGTGACTATCTGAAATTTGGCACTCTTGTGCATGTCCTGATTAGTGCAAGTTGAAAAGTTTCAACAATGTGTCTCTCTGTTCAGCAATATTCAAGTACTGTACTACCAAGCAACTGTTATAATAATTTTTCAGTCAGACCTTTCGATATTTCTTTGGCACCATGTACAGATGAGGCTCCTCCTCCCTTCCAATAGGAGACTCAGGGATTTGATTGTAGCTGTCAAATTCTGCATCCATCTCCTTCAATTTATATGGAACCTAAAACAAGTAACTTACTTCAACAAATAATAAGACATTCCAAAAAGCAGTGAACTCTGCTGATGGTCTAGTGAGTAACAGCAATCCAAGTGTACAGCCTAATCTGGACTAGGCAGGGTGAGAAATCACACGCCACCAGGTTATAGTCCAACAGGTTTATTTGAAAACACAAGCTTTCAGAGCCTCAGTCCTCTTTCAGGTGTTAGTGAGAGAGGTAGTATCAGACACAGAATTTCTAAGTAAAAGATTCACACCATTGATGACGATGTACTAAACAAACCTAAGATGCTGTTAAATCTTTAAACAGTTAGAGGGTTTTAATTGATTAATATGTATATGTAAACTCCCGAATTCCTTTCGAGTCACGGTCATTAGAGAACTAAAGATTTTATCAGTGTAAAGAAAAGGTGACATTTTAGGTCAGACAATGCATGTTAAGGTGTGAGACCTTGTTTAGAATCTGTTTGGAGTCAGACCGGTTTTATTTCTAAAGTAGGAACTAATAAAACACCACATTGACTGACTGTCTATAAATTGTGTGCATTTTGAACAAAGTAAAATGTATCTGTAAATACAAATTCACTCCACAGATTCGTGCGCGTGCGTGCGTGACAGAGAGACACAGAGAGAAGGAGAGAGAGAACGAGAGAAAGAGGGGAGATTGTGTGTGTGCACGCACGTGAGGGGGGGAAAGAGTGTGAGAGAGGAGGGGAGAGACAGAGAGCGTGCACACGCAAGGTGGGAGAGTGAGTGTGTGTGTGTGAGGGGAGAAGAGGGAGAGAGTTGTGTGTGCGTGTGGAGGGGGTGGGAGAGAGAGTGAGAGTATGAGAGTGTGTGTGAGAGCGAGAGTGTGCGCACGTGTGCAGGGGGGGAAAAAAAGAGTGTGTGCGCACGCGAGGAAGGAGAATGAGTGTGTACATGGAGGCGGGGAGAGAGAGAGAGCGCGCACGCATGCGAGCAAGAGGGAGAGAGAGAGTGAGTGAGAGTGTGGGAGTGTGTGCGTGCACAAGGAGGGAGAGGGAGAGTGTGTGTGTGGGCACAAATGCAAGGAGGGGAGGGAGAGAGAGAGAGCGCAAGAGTGTGTGCGTGCGGGGGTGGGGAAGAGTGTGTGTGTGTGGGTGTGTGGGTGTGTGTGTGGGTGTGTGTGTGTGTGAGAGAGAGCCTTCCAAAGATATGCAAAGCCAACACACCTGGATGTCCCATCGTATCAGGCAATCAGACCCTGTGTGAGAACCTCTCTGGCTATATCAAGGACATCTTAAAGCCCATTGTACAAGGAACCCCCAGCTTCTGTCGTGACACTACAGATGTCTTACAAAAACTCAGCACCCACGGACCAGTCAAACCAGGAACATTCCTTGTCACAACGGACGTTTTGGCACTCTACACCAGCAACCCTATGACGACGGCATCACCGCAACAGCCTCAATACGCAACACCACCAACTGCCAATTTCCAGACAACATCCTACAACTCATCCACTTCATCCTCAACTACAACGTCTTCACCTTTGACAACCAGTTCTTCATCCAGGCACACGAAACAGCCATGGGAACCAAGTAGGTTCCCCAATATGCCAACACTTTCATTCACAGGTTGAAACAAGACTTCTTTGCTGCACAGAACCTTTGACCAACACTATACACCAGATACATTTCTTCCTTTGGACTCATGGCAAGGGATCATCAAAACAACTACATAGCGATATCAACAAGTTTTATCCCACAATCAGACTTACCACGAACTACTGTTTAGAATCAGTCTCATTCTCGGACACACGCATCTCCATCAGGGTCAGACACCTCAGTACGTCACTCTACCACAAGCCCATGGATAACCTCTCAATGCTGCACTTCTCTAGCTTCCACCCGAAACATATTAAAACAGCCATCACTTACGGACAAGCCGTACACATACACAGGATCTGTTTGGATGAGGAGGAACGAGACAGACACCAGGAGATGTTGAAGGACGTCCTCATAGGAACAGGATACGATGCTCAACTCATCGATCGCTAGTTCCTGTGTGCCACAGCGAAAAACCATAATGGCCTCCTCGGAAGGGACAAGGGATACGTCTGATAGGGTGCCTTTCGTCATCCAGTACTTCCCAGGAGCGGAGAAACTACACCATGTTCTTCGCACCCTTCAACACATTATTGATGACAATGAGCACCTCACCAAGATCATTCCCATGCCTCCACTTCGCGCCTTCAAACAACCGCCAAACCTTAAACAGACCATTGTTTGCCGCAAACGACACAGCCTTCAGGAGAACAGCAACCACAACACTATACAACCCTGTCATGCTAGCCTCTGCAAGACACGTCAGATCTTCAAAATGAATACTACCATCACACGTTGGAAAACCACCCACCACGTGCACAGCAGATACTCATGTGACTCTGCCAATGTTGTCGATCTTATACGCTGCAGGCAAGGATGCCTGAGACTTGTTATATTGGCGAGATCACAAAGACGCTACATCAACAGATGGATGGACACTGCCCAACAATCGCAGGACAGGGATGTTCCCTCTCAGTGGGGAAACACTTCAGCAGTCAAGGACATTCGGCCTCAGATCTTCAGGTAAACGTTCTCTAAGGTGGACTTCGGGATAGACAACAACACAGAGTCGCCGAGCAGAGGCTGATAGCCAGGTTCAGTCCACGTGAGGACAGCTTCAACCAGGATCTTGGGTTCATGTTGCACTACAGGTGACCCCACCACACTATACACTCCCACACTCTCCCTACACCCCCCCACCCCCCAGCCCCGCACGCACGCCCCCGCCCCCGCGCCCCCCCCCCCCCCGCTCCCCCCCCCCGGGCGTGCCCCCCTCTCTCGCTCCCTCGCGGGCGCGCCCCCCTCTCTCGCTCCCTCGCACGCGCGCCCCCCTCTCTCGCTCCCTCGCACGCGCGCCCCCCT